ACGCGTGTCTGGGATACCTGAAGGGACGAGAGTTCCAGAAAGACCTAAACGCAAATAGGATGGCAGTATTAAATTGATCTTAGGGAAACGGAATTTGAGGATATGAAATGGATGCATCTGGTTAAGGATATGAATCACTGGGAGGGCCCTTTTAAACACAGTAATGAGCGTTCAGCGGTGACTGTTCTCTTTTGGAGAAGGACTTTATTGCGTGGAGTAGCAGTATTGCAGTGCGTGTTCGCTGGGAAATGAAGGCAACTTCTCCGACTTTGCTGTTATGAGTATACAACCGGAACATGGCGCAACTCTGGAACACAAGAAACTGTACAGTATCCCTGTTCGTATGCAAACGTGAAGTTAGAGCTGTAAATGGAGGTGAGCTGTTAATTTTGTACTCCGGGCGATTTAATCCCAGAAAAAGTCAAAACACCCATTGCAAAGAAGATTGTTGGGTTCTAGAGGTAGCTGGACGCAGCAGCAAAATAGAAAATCTTGTGAGTGGGATTATATTGTAGCGTGTACAGTCGTCACTATGCAACAACCGCGAGGTAGGAAAATATATTAGGCAACAATAGTAAACAAACATGTCTCTACAGTAACGAATAGAGGCGCAACAATAGCGATATTTTTGGAAACGGTGTTTCTACGTGGTGGGTGCCGAGGTGTCATAGGCAAGGGAAAAAGTTAGAACATAGTCGGGGGGGGGAGAGGAGATTGTGAGTGGAGCGCGAAACCCCATGTGGAAGCGAGTTCGAATACCTCCATCGAAATCCTGCGTGTCATAGGAGGTGACGGAAAGGAACCCAGTGCCCGGGGGTGTAACCGGGCCATCCTGTTCCTGGGGGATGTAAATACGGGGACCTGGCACTCCAGGTTGGGAGAATCTCGAATCTGAGACAGTAAAATGTGGTCATGAGTCCCACGGGACTCGGACACAAGAATGACTGCGCTGGCGAGGACCCAGCAATTGTGAACGACAGGCCCATCCTCTCGTCAGCGAGGATATTACATGAGGAGTATAACCGCAAGTGTTCAGCTGAAAAATAAAATTACTGTTTGTGAGTCTCAAAAGGCTTGTCACCAAGACGAACTGATTGGCGGTAAACCGCCAGTCGTAAAGTAACTCTGATTCTGACTCTGATTCTGACTCTGACTCTGACTCTGTACGGGATGCTGTAATGAAAAGAGGAAGTTCGGAGGGAGCCGCCGTTCAGAGAGGAGTTGAGCCCGAAAGATGTTAGAAGCCGTTGACAGGGGGCGGCTGGTGAAGACCCAGCAGGCTTGAAAAGGCTTAGCGGGTACTGTGGTAATTTGTGAATTGCGCAGATTAGCGATGGCGCTGTAATTGCATGTATTTCCGAGTCTTATGTATAAGTAGTCAATAAATCGAATATCTAATCCAAAAACCCGTTTGTACTCATTCCTTTATGTGGCAGTTTGTTCTATTCTCTGCCCATTTGTTGGCTGGAGAGCCTGAGGAAAACCTTGTCTCATGGAATAACTTCAGGAGAAAGAACCGCAAGAGATTCTGCGAGCGCTGTAGTAATGTCACGAGAAGTTTCGTCACAGGAATAGCCGTCTGCGTTAATGTGGTCATCGGTGCGTTGTCTGACTTCACCTTCAGACCTGTTATTTGTGGAACGAGCCGCAGAGACTGTTGCCTCCCCTTCCCGCTATCAGGAAAATGTCCCGGACTTCCCTGGATCGAATCCAGCAAGTGGCCTTGTGTAACTCAGGTGTAATGCGCCTGGCTGTAGACACAAGAACACTCGGTAGGAACGTCCATTAACAATTTGCTGATATCACATCACGCGCATGCGCCTTCAGGCGTAGACAGTGTATGACAGCGGGGGACAAACGGCCGGAGTGTTGTGAGAACTGTTCACGTGATATCACCTAGGGACCCTGTTACGAATGACTTTCAAGAGGATAGGCTGTTCCTCTGTGTACATGAAGCATTTTGTAAGCTTGTGCAGTTCCTGTTTAGTACTTAAACGAACGTTGCCTGAACGTTTCGACGCATCATGCCTGTTATGTGAATACTGATAACATTTTGATAATAGATATGTGAAGTGTACTGTATTATATATGAGGCGGTTTAAGATTGATTTTTGTGCTTGTTATTCGTGGGCGATATCCTTAAACGTCGACCTCGACGTATCATTCGGTAACATGGAAATCAATACAGGAGAAATTAGGGGAAGTTTATAATACAACAATTTATATAACAAATTATGACACTGCTCACCGGGTGTTACAATAAATACCTTTAAAAGAGGCCACGACATTTCTTCATCCTTCGCCATTCGTAATAACAACGGCCTGAAATTTATAAATGGGAGACATTGTTGTTAAACACACCAACCCTGACTTTACCCAGTGACTAAGGGATCTACTGACAGGCTGCATCTGTATAGCATAGAGGTATAAAATGAGTGGATCTTCATCTCCACGACTCTTATGCTATATTTCAGATGCATGATTACAGGCAACAATGGCAGGTCAGTTGTGATCGAAGAAAGGTCGGTCGTAGCTTACTGTAAGGACACATGACGAGCATTTGCCTTGAGACCCCGAGACAAAGTGAGTAGCACTGAGCACGGTTCTTGCATCAGTTTCCTTTGTGACATGGCTGCTCCACTGCCATCTGCATGCGAGGGGATCGTCTTCTCTTTCTGTCTTTGTTCCAAATCCCACGAGTCTTCTTAAGGGATGCGACTTTCGAGTGAAGTATTCATGCCTCTCAGCTACGAAATGTAGAATTTTATGGTCACAGAAAGACTGCGCTCTGGGTTTGTAATAAAGACAAAGTCTGGAAAAATTGGGGCCAGATTCCCATTTGCTATAAAATGCTGAAGTCAAATTTTACTGCTCTGACCTGCCTCCAACAAGAGCAAGTTCGTTGTTGTGGCACCGTCACGAACCTTTCAAAAGCTGGATATACACATCTCGCAATATTTAAGGTTACGCGATTCCAGTATTCAAGGAATACTCTACGAATATAAACTCAACAGAAAGTACTGTGTTTGTTGGTGCTGTCTTCTTAACTGGTTGATTGCTTAGCTTAATTTTTAGACTTGAACATGAAGGCCATACATTCCTCTAAAATGTCGCTAAACTTTTACCAGACTACACGATATCACATCCGAGGAGATAGACTCTTCATGTTAATCACGTTTGCTTAAATATCATTTTATTGAAACGCGGCTTCATTTAAGAGTCGTGAAACGACTACAAAGACAGAAACAACAAGAACAACAAAGGCGATAGCAGTCGTGATAACGAGAGCATATGAACCGCTTGTGTTCTGTACATTATTGGACGGAGGCTGACAAACTTGAACGGGGAACTGAACTGAAGTGTCGTAGGACGGGATCCACGGTTCGACCCGTGTCAACGCGGCAATGAAGTCTCGAATTCAGCGGAAGTTGAGCGCACGTACCCGTAATGACCAGGGTGAAAGTCGCCCTTTTGAGGGACCCTACATGGCGCTTAATATTGTACGAGTTTCTGACTGGGTTAAGTGGTTATGAATGGGGAATTGAGAAGGACGACCCAGGAAGCGGTCGTATCCTATCACACAGTTTAATCGGCTTAACTAGTTTCATGGGTACCCCAAACTCTATCAGAATATTGTACAGTACTTCCCTCCTAACTGAATCATAGGCTTCCTTGAAGTCTATGAATAGCTGATGTACTGTCTCATCGTACTCCCATTTTTTCTTCAATATCTGACGAATGCAAAAGATCTGATCTGTAGTTGATCTGTTATGTCGAAACCCACGTTGATGATTCACAATAATTTCATCTATGTATGGACTTAACCTTCAGAGAAGAATATTGGATAAAATTTTCTGTGAAGTTGATGGCAGTGATATCCCTCGATAATTACTGCAGTCAGTTTTATCACCCTTCTTGTGAACTGGTACAATAATAGACCCCTTCCACTGATCGGTCAATTTTTTCTTGTTCCAAATAGAATTAATTAGCTTATGGATCTTAGAACGTAATATTTCATCTCCTGATTGAATAAGTTCTAACGGAATTTGATCACTACCTGGCGATTTATACCTTTTAAATTTTGAAATAGCAATTTCAAGATCAAAAGGACTAGGATCAGGTACTAACGGCTCAGCTGTATGGATTTCTGTCTGCCTACCATCACTGACCCTATGCACATTCAATAACTGAGAGTAGTTCCTCCACCTATTCAAAATGTTGTGGGAATCTGCAAGCAGATCACAATTCTCATCCATCACTAAGTTACTGCTAGGCTGGTAACCCCTCTTCAAGTAATTTATTCCTCCATACAAATCTCTGATGTTCTTGTTCTTACTGTTCATTGCAAGCTCATGAATTTTGTCATTCAGATATTCCTCGAATTCGATCCTGAAATGCCCGCTGACTTCATGCCTCACATTGTTCAGAATATCCCAATTTATTAGGCTGTTCCATAGCTCAAGCGGTTAGTCTCTGGCTTCCCACCGCGGCGGCCCGAATTCGATCCCGGGTCTGGTCAACTGGGATTTGTGGTAGACAAAGTGGCGCTGGGGCGGGTTTTCTCCGAGTACTTCGGTTTTCCCTGCCAATCTTTATTGCTCCAAGTCCTTCATCATCATAATCACCCGGGGGGCAGGTACAACAGGCCAATCAGTGGCCGCCGTGCTGAGTGGACCCAGTTGGACTCCACCCCCCACTAAGCGAATCCCCATTTATTTGACACGGATCCTGTAACCATTGCACTTTGGCTTTCTCTGTCTTTGATAAAATATTTCTAAACTTCCTCCGTCGAACTATGGCTTGTGCCGCTTCCGTTCATAATAACCTAGAGTCTCCGTGGATTAACTTTGATTTTCGCTCTAGTGCACTCGCTAGTATTCTTACTAGCTACACTATTGTCTAGGTTTTCCGAAGCTAACTCCTGTTTGAGATTTTAAGTAGGCCATAACAGGCCTGATCGGGCGTACCATAAATTACATTATTTCTAAATTCCATTACAGGTTTCGAGTTTGGATTAGATGTTGCTATCGCCAGACCAGAAAACATCGAGCCGCCTCTGATCAAAGGTAGGAATTCACCGTGGAAACTAACCAGTGTATCAGTTGTTAGGCTGGTGTTTATATTCTTGTAGCAGTTGAAGTTGGCCGATCGGTGTGGCCATGCAGTCGTTTTCTGTTGTGCTGTCGTGTGATGATAGACGCTTTGCAACGGTCGATTACCATCCGAGAAGACTTTCCAAATATGTACAATAAGACTGTTCTAGAATTAACTCTGAGTCGTGAAAGCTCAGAAATCGAAATCCATGAAAGTCAATTAATTATGCCTACCGTGCAATGATAATTGTGGCCACATTGCAGCTGATGAGCTGATAAATGAACAGTTGAAATATAACTGTGTTTTGTTGGTTTTGGGTTACAATGATGAAATAACTGCAGAGTTAATTGACGTGGAATGAGACGAGAAGGTGATTGTGTACAGCGAATTGCAGAGAAGAAGGGGAGGGGGGCACCGCTCTCCTGTAATATCTCGCTGGAGCGACAACGAGCAAGGAGACATTTTGGAACACCTGATGCTTTGTCGGGAGTGAAACGCGGCTTCTCTCTAATACAAAATTAACTTCATTAAAATTTATCTTTATGGAAAATGCATTGGCAATACCCAGACAGAAGGTTTCCGATATTTGTTTGTGTATTTCTGGAAGACGCGTGGTATTGACGCTGATCATTCTGAGCCCTTATTTATTTGGATGATTATAGATGACCATGAAATTTATTTCTAATTAATTCTCGGTAATTTAATTTCAAAAGTCTTATGTTTCGATATTACTGGAAATGTATCGTGATCTATAATATCGTATTTCATCGTCTGGGACGTGCAATACGGTGTTTATGTTGAAAATTTCTAGATTCTGGCAGAAACAAGAAGTCCGGAGTTATGACATTTACGAGAAGTCATAAATTTAGCTCGGGTACAGGGAACCGGGCGCACCTAAAAGGACAGGTCAGAGCTTGTTACAATTGCCTGTGAATGAGGGCCAGTATGATTTGAGTTGCCTCGTTCAAGCTTCCCACGGAAGATGGGATGAAATATATATGTCAACACCATCTTTCGAATTCTCGGCGTGGGGTGTGCAAGCCATTCCACAAAAGAGACTTTCACAGTATTCCGAACTGAACGGACGTGACCCTTGCACGCTCCGGGACATAGCTAGCCGATAGTGTAACGTTGTAACTTAAAGCTAAGAATACATTAATTTAACAGTGTGGTGAATTAGCAGGTGAATAAACGTCAATTGGCTCAACTCTCAGAAAAACGCTTTCTTCGGCATCGCTACCCTGAGACACATGCAAACCGACCCAGCTAGTTTCCCGTACCTATACCGATCTTCCTTAGTTTGATCTGTGAGGACAACTTCCAGTAGCCATCATACACTGTCCTAAGGTAGAAACAGGTGTAGCAGGGATAGCACCATTCCGACTGCGCCGATACAAGCAAAGGCGGGTTGGAAAAGAGCGGTGTTAGTGTTTCCTCGGCGTCATTAAATAAGCTGGACTGTAAGAGTGACGCTGCTCGCTTAGTATCAGAAGCTAACGAATTTTCTTCTTAGCTAGGTGAGAACAGTGTTGCACTTCTTAGACGTTAGAATATGGATCGCTTTATGCATTGAACGGTTTCCAAGTATCGAAACAGCCGTGGACACAGATCGATTTTGAGTTCTAAAACAGGGACCGCACAGAAAATGATGCATCCCGCAATTCTTCTGTTGTTGCTTGTGTATTCGTTGCAGCGGTAACGTTTTTACCGAACAACTGCCAATCACCGATAAGAACAATAAGGGATACACACACAGACCGATGGGAGGGATTTATTAAGCACGCCGTTGAGATGGGCTTAGGTGCCATGACGTACATACCAAGTTTCATTAAGACTGGCTAAGGCATTCAAATTCGATATCAGCAGTTTACACATACAGACAGACAGCATGGAGATCTCACAAGTCTACTTTTATTTTTAGTAAGGAAAATAGGCTAATCAAATCAGAGCTGGAACAGCGGGAACACTGGAAACACAAAACGATTATGGAAATCATATAAATAAGATAACAGAGAAATTGCGCTTTGTTGAATTCTTGCATCAAACGAGAGCTTAACAGGGATCAAGTAGTGTCTGCTCATCCCCATATCACAGTGGCCACCGCGCGGTCTAACGCAAGCATTTTTTATTGCTATTGGGGTGGGACTAAGCCCCTTGTACTGCGGCCACTTCTGGCCTATTGTACCAGCCCCAGATTATAGGTGAGGGTGATTGTGGAGCAATTGATGGAATGAAGATTGACAGGGGAAACCGAAGTACTCAGAGAAAACCTTCCCCAGCGTCACTTTTTCCATCACTTGACCAGACCCGGGATCGAACCCGGGCCGCCGCGGTGGGAAGCCAGCGACTAACCGATTGAGCTGTGGCGCGGCCTTACAAGGGACGCAGTCCCATCCTACTAGCAATAAAAAACCCCACTCAAAGCACGGATGTCTGTGTGCGTTTATTTTGTTTTTGTGTTGTCCTGTGTGTAGGTAGTGACCTTGCTTCTCAAGAAGGGATAATCTCCATGGAATTAGTTAGTTAGTTCTTGAATTATCACACAACAGGCCTATACGTATGTACAGAAATATATAACAGTTCTGATTACTTGAGGTTCTCACAGCCGTGATTATTAAAACTTCTATCTTCTGGAATAAAAATCCTTGTAGTCCAGTGAAAGTCGACGGACGTTTTGGAGGCAAATCTGTCATCTCCATCTTCAAGACTGAGGAGGCGACAGGCGGCATGTTCCTCCGAAACATCTGTTGACTCCCATGGAACTACACGACGTTATATCCCAGAAGATACAACTGTCAGCATAAATTTTGATATATTGGGTTTTTGGACTTTATCCATCGTCCTGGTTTTTAAGATAACAAATAAAAACACGACGTTTCGGAAACTGGATCTGTTTCCGTCCTCAGGTGAAGGAAAACACCTATTCAGTTGGGTCCGTTAGAAAGAGCTAGCCTCAATCACTGGACCAGTGATTGAGGCTGGGTCGGTAATATAGCAAGTGAGGATACTTTCCGTTGAATTCCAAACGGAATTCTGTAAATTTGGCAGCCATGAAACCTCCGTGGACTGTCAGCTGTGCTGTGCTGCGATCATCTAGTCATGTTAGGAATATGGGCAGCGGGAGAAGGGAACGGAGTGTGAACCAAGTACATAAACATATGTAACTTGATATTGGCCAGAATAAAATCGTGTCGCCATTTCGAGTGAAATTAAGTTTCTAATTGGAGACGTCCGAGCAGGTGTCTCCCCTCTGCCGGATCCAGTAAATTAGGCTGTCTCTCAAAGCTCGCCTACGCCTGACGTGGTGGCCGAAATATTTCACTAAGCGTCAGGGAAAGCTGCCACCATCTGTTCTGCATTTTCTATGTTATTAACAGACTTGTAAGCATTCGTGCGCTATCCAAGATTGTCTCTCGTTTTTGTTTTGCAGAAACAAGAAATAACACGCTGAAATTCTCATGCCATATTCAAATTAAAATATTTTGGCGTGTAGAACCGTTGCTAGGCAATGACCATGAAGTAAGCAGCCATAAAGAAGCATTTGCTAGGTAATGGCCGCAACAAATTCGTAACACGCAACAATGGAGTAATTTGGAAGCGGTGTTCTCTTCGCTGTCTTTGCGATAGTTACGTGACGCAACAGTAGAACTGTTTGGAGAGGTGTTTCTGTGCTGTCCGTGTCGAGGCTATAAAACGAGGAGCAGCTGCGATTACGAGAGGGTTAGAAGTTAGAAGAGTAGGAGGTTGGTGTGAGATGGCTGCCAGCCTGCGAGGACATGAGCCCGGGAGAAGGAGAACGTCCACTGGGGAAGACAACAGACAGAGAAGAACTGCAGATTGTGAATTAGCGATAGCGCTATAGTTACCTGTAGCTACGATATGTAAGTGTTCAGTAAATCCAGTTACTAATAAAAATACCGTCTGTAGTTACTGTGAAATCATGACAATCTGAGAATGACTTCAACGTTACTGAAGTCAGATGCTTCAGTAAATGCGAAGAAAATTAATACCACACTCTGTTTGTGTTTAAGGTCTTAAGGGGTACAGCAGTGCTGCTTGGACAGTGCACATTGTCTGTACTTTCGAACATGTTCGATGTTCCTGAGGTTGTTTCTGTTTCCTTCTTCAAATAAAATATACGATGGAGAAGGAACCATAAGCTACACAGTATGTACCATGACATCAGAACCTTTTATTTACTGTTTCTTCTGCCTGCTCAGAAAAGTTGCTTGTCCAGCAGTGAGGACTATAGTTAGTTTGATTTGTAGTTTTCAGAGCCGTTGCTATGAAGAATTCGATATTCTGAAATATAATGCCATGTAGTTCATCGAAAGTCTTCGAACCTGAAGATGTAGGCGATAGGTGCATCCGAAAAATCGATTGACGTTTAATGGGAAAGAGAATCTCGGAAACGGTTCGGAATAGGATACATATACATAGTTTTTGCTTAGACTGACCGATACTGTGACCTCCCAGAATATTGAGCTTCCCTCCGGGGGCACCCTGTATATCGTTTAGAGGCATGCGGTACGTGTATGTGACGGAGCTTCACCCCACCGAAGTGCGTCAGCCGGCCGAGAACAACACGAGGGACACTATCGGCCATCCGCGACTGCTGAGGCTTGTTGCGCGCAATGGTAGCCATCTCGAGTAGCGCCACAAACTTAAAGCGCGCATAGAACAGTTGACTTTGAACACCTCATTAAAGCGATGTTTTGTGTGGAGGCTCTGAATATCTCCCAAGGGAGTGCTTTAAATCGCGTCATAAACCGTAGTTCACAGGAGAATTCAGAGTGATACGACCCCGAGTGCAAGTCCCAGCGTGGTTTGTGTTCGGGCAAGTAGCATGCAGACCTCTGGCACCACATCTTGTGGCGGATGCAGCCCGTTTCTCTGCAGCTGTTGCAGTACACTTGAATGGACCATGAAACAATAGATAAAGATATAATTAAAAGAATTAAAAGCAGAAGAA